ATTATTCTTTATTCTATTTATTGTATTTTTATTTGTTCCTTAGAGCAATATTTGTTAACAGTCTATATGCTTGCCTGGTCTGTTCAGTATGTGTCCAGTGACCAAAACAAATTCCTTGTATGTGTAACATACTTGGCAAAATAAAGTGATTCTGATTCTGAAGAAAAGTTTTTTGTTTTTTTTTAGATTCCCTATTTTATCATTATCACCATTACATATCGCTGTTGTCGGAAGGAAACCTCAAATCTCCAAAATGATGATAACTTTACAGGAGACGGAAAAGGCCTACTTTACTTTCAATGTAAGTCAATGAAACCAGACTGGATCGCATTGGTCATTTTGGATAGCAAATAACTTGACTATATTTGCATTGTAGACACTGCAACCCATGGTATCAACATTTTAAACAAAGTCTGAGTAATTGTTTCAGTAATTTTCTCTACAATGCACCGTTTCACATCAAACCATGCTTAATGACTACATCTACATCTCAACAAACTTGGTGGAATTTACCTTTAAGATCTGCTTTATTTAGTTACATAGGAAAACTGCAACAGACCAGGTCTCATTCTATAAATCCAGACAGTTCAAACCAAGACTACACTCATAAAAATAATTACAGTGTATCCTCTCTGGTTGTGTCACCTGTTGGTAGCCAATCAGTATGTGTTATGACAAACCCAAACACAGCATTTTTTCACATGAACAACTTTTTAAGATGCAGTGCAAAGACATAGTAGCGTTAGTACACAACTGTCTTTCACAATGTTTCTATGTTTTAATTGCCCAGAATTCATCGTTTCACTCATTAAGAGAGATCAAAAAACCCATTATAGTGAAAAATAAATATAACTATTTGTCATAGTGCACGATTGTTGCTCGGTGCTTAACCAGTACAATTCTTAACTAGTACGATTCTATGAAAAACCTTCAATGGTTTTCCCAATATGGGAAACCAATTAAAGGTTTTTCAAAGAATCATACATCCAAACCAAGAACTATTGAGAAAATGCTATTTTCAAGAGTATAATATTAACTTTTGCTATTTCTTATATCTTTTAATACTGAGAGAGAGGAGGGGAGAAAGAGAGAGAGAGAGAGAGACAGAAAGAGAGAGAGTGTCTTGACTGTGCTGAGAAGCAATTAATCACGGCTGCCGAGCTATCCATTAGGCATTCAAATGTGCACAGATTGGACGTGTGTCCACTTGCAGGTCACTAATGCAGCCCTCCCTAACCACGAGGCCTCTGCCTCCCTGTCTCAGGGGTCCAGGCAATGAGGAATCCATACTGTCTCCCAAAAGCAAAGAGAAAGAAACGTCAACGTGGCATTGATTGGGATCATAATAAATTTGATATGATAACCTGAACTGTATTAAAGGAAGTATTTTATGTAAACTCACCTCAGCGTCGACTACAATGGAGATCATGACAAAGTTTTTTTTAATTTCATACTGAAGCCCCAGATGAATGTAAGTGAATGTTATGAATAGGCCTGTGCCTGTGTGGATGGTTTGGTGGGTAGATACATAGGCTTAACATTCAACCTCCTATTAAGCTCACTGTACATATGGATTTTCAGTGGGGTTTCTTGGACTGTGACAGGACATCACCAGTGTATCCCCCTTAAGTCAGTGTCTTCTGTTGATAGCCAATCAGGACATATTTTGCTGAACCCAAACACATGATTTTTAAACATGACCAACAGTTTAAGATTCAGTGAAGCTTCTGGTTGAACACTGAGCAGCACTATGGCTTAAATAGTTATATTTGTCTTTCACTATTTCTATGCTTTTAATTGCTCAGAATTCATGATGAGATACTCGTATGCATAAATACTTCCCATATTGGGAAAACAATAAATATGCCCTCTTTAAATGAAATGTGCAAAAAGGGGTTCTTTGCAGAGATGCTATAGAGGAACCACTTTGTCCTAATGTAAACACTCTATTAAAGGTACAACTGAAAGTTTTTTACACTACATCAGAGCCAAGAATCAATTGGAAACCCTTACTTTAATGAGCACACATGGTTAGATTTACTTCTAACAAAAGAAGTAAGGGAAAAATAAAGCTTTGCAGTGACATTATATTGACCTCTGCTGACCAATGCCCTTTTTTTAGCTTATTTAAAAAAACAAACAAAAGCATAATTCACACTACAGTATTTACAGTGACACAGCACTGGACGTGGCACTAATGCTAGAAGAAATTGGCACTCAAATAATTACATTTTAAGATACAGATTTCTGTGTTTTTCATTCCAAACCAACCGATAGTCAATGAAAAGACGAATCCGAGGGCGCCATGCGGCCCCATGCAAATATCCCATTCGTCATACCTGAACGGAAGTGAGACAGTCGTGGTCTAATCAGAGCGCGTTAAAAAACAAAGCGAGCTCAATTAAAAGCAGGCGCAGCCGCGCGCTTATCTGCCTCCGCGCTTCCCAATCGAGTATTGATCCGCGCGCTCCATTTAAAAGGGACGCGGGGAACTGCGCTATCGATCAGCTGCAGGTCGCTGGAGAGAGAGGCTCGGGTGGGGGGCGCGGGGGGCGCGCATGGGCCCAAAACACACGAATCTGACCTTTTTTTTGCAGGGAAAAGCCCGACGGAGATCCCCCCATCTGCTGTGGGAGAGTGCGAGCCGGACACTCATCAAAGCGCTGACAGGAAATCGTTCTTTAAGTGTTTGATGACTGTCCGGTTTAGCTCTCATTCAGACCCTGTTTTTCTGGGTAAAAATCTAAAGGGCCCAGACCTTAACCGTGCGGAACTCCTTCATTAACATAGAGGGAACACATTATGGAGGCGCGTGTGAGGCATTTTTGAAACTGTAGTTACTATATGATTGTGTGCTTGGCATTATAGGACAGTGTGTTTGATATTTTTATCATTTCACTTAAACTGATTCACGAGATCTGATAATAAAATCGTATTTAAAATGGCCGGAGGACTCATAGTATTCCCAGTGTTCGTAGTGTTCACACTATTATTTTCATGAGAATTCAAATAGAATTGAAAAGTAATATATGGGATACTGTGTTAGGCATTATGGGATATGCACCTAATAGAACCTGAATGATATAATTAGGCTATTCTTTAATTCAATTTCCTTACATAAGTGACTTCTTTAATTAAACAAGCTTATATACAGTATTGCTCTTTTAGTAAGTACCAGCTCAAACTGAAATGCACAAAAATTTCACAGAAAGCACCCCCACCCCTCCCGCCACCCCTGCTGACCAATGCCTTTTTTACCTTATTTGAAAAAAACGACCATAATTTACACCAAAGTATTTAGAGTGACACAGCACTAAACACAACACTAATGCTTTAAGAAATTAGCAAAATAATTATATTTTGGGGATATTTAAAACCTTTGGAGCATTCACAGTGTTCATAGTGTTCACAGCATTATTTCAAAGGCTCGGAATTTCAAACAGAATTGATAGGTAATATATAGGACAATGTGTTAGGTATTATGGGATACTGTGTTAGGCATTATGGGACATGCAGCTCATATACAATGAATGGTATAATCAAGCTATTCTTTAATTCAGTTTCCGTAAAAAAGTGACTTTTGTAACTAAACAAGCCTATTTACAGTATTCCCTTTCGCTCCTTTAGTAAACACCAGCTCAAACTGATGCACAAGAATTTCATATAAACCCCCCAGCTGTCAAAAATGGTTCATTGGAGCGATGCAACAGCAGAACCAATTTGAATTCCCTAAAGAACCTTACAGTGAACCATTTCTGTAAATTAAAAAGAACCTTTCACATGTTTAAAAATCCTCCCGTAATGCCCACAAATGTTTTTCCCAGAACCGTACATCTAAGCCATAAACCAACAGTGTATTCTTTAGCATACAGATAAATTATTTTAAAAGATTTTAATGAGCAAGTCACTGAATCAGTGAGTCACATTATTTAAGCTCTATTTTTACACTTTAACACTACTCTTTGAGAAACAGTCCCTGTTTGGTTTTCAGTTTCTCTGTACTTTTGAGCCTTTCTCGAGAATGCCAATGTGAATGTAAAGCCCTGCTGTCCTCCACAAGCCTGCTCTGGATGGAGGGTGACAATAAGATTACTGTGATGTGGTGAACAGATATGCAGTAATGGCTGTGTGATAGGAGCCCATGATTTCAGTTAACACCTACTCAGTACAGTCAGCGGTCATGAAATAATTGTAGGGAGGATTCAGGTATTTTGGGACATCAGATCATGAGACAGTGCATTAGGTTTTACAGGACACACGTTACAGGCCTATATGCATAGTTCTATAATATGGATCTCCATGTTGTTGAACTATGTGGCCCATACTGATCCACAATCAGTAATCATTCATTTAGACTGGTACATAAGATGTGATACAACGTTTTGTATGAATGGCTTAATCAGAAAGGTAATGTGGGTATCAATTAATATAGGACAGTGTTTTAGGTGTGTTGGATGAGTCGACACAGTGAGGTGTGTTAAGTATTAGAGGAAAGTGTATTAGGTATTACGGGTTACATATAGGCCCTGAATGACAAAGCCATTTCCATTATTACATCTCCCCAATAAAATACTTTTGGAATGTAATGTGCCTATTTACAGTGTTCCCTTTTGTTTGTTCATTAGCCATCATTAACTGAAACTGGAATGAATAACAGTTAAGATGCATGCATGACTGTGTGTTATGGGGTATACTTAATATTTAATTTTACATTTACAGTATTAGCAAATACTTTGTGAAAATATATAATTCAGCTAGTACAAACAGTCAAGAGCTAAAAAGATACTCTTGAGCAAATACACTGCCAGAAACACAAGTTAGTGCTGATATTCAAAGATTTACAACACATTAAGATTTGTGTCTCCTTTGTATAAGCACGTTTATTTTATGTTTTCTATATGTGGTCAGCCAGATTACTTTTACTACCTGATGGCCCCAGATACCCGAATCTAGCACCCCTTAACAGATGTTAGGCTACTTTAGCTCTGGCAAAAACTCACCGGCCAGCCTGAGCGCGGACATCCTCTGGAACTCGGGCTCCTGCAGCCACTTCCACATCCTCCGGAAGGTCTCTCTGCCGGACTTGAGCTTACTCCAGGGCTTTGGGTTGCGCAGCAGGTCGGACAGGGTCCCCTGCGAGCGGCACAGGATCCGCTGCGCGAAGATGGCCTGCGGGATGCTGTAGCGCTTCAGCTCGGCCGTGATCCGCTGCGCCACCTCTTTCGTGTTGATCTCCTCCACTTGATTCCCTCCTCCTCCGCTTCCGCCGCCTCCGCTTTGGCTCACGCCGCCGACCGCGTGCCGCTCGCGCTCGGCCAACATGGCGGCGCTGGCGGCCTGTGCGTGCAGGTGCCCGTGCGGGTGCATGCCGTTGAGGTTGGAGAGGACGGCGTGCGCGTGCGCCACGCTGGCGCCGCCGCCGCCGCCTCCGCCGCCCAGGCTGCGCGCGAGGTGCTCCTCGCTGCGCGACAGCATGGCCGCGTGAGGCTCGAAACCGGTGGCGCTCGTGGGGCCGTAGGCGGCGGACAGCGCATTCTGCGAGCCGTGCAGCGCCCCCAGCCCGTTGGACAGCGGCGAAAGCGGCGCGCCCATGGCCGACACGTCCTTGGCGTAGTGGTGGCCGTACAGGTTGCTGACCAGGCCGCCCGCTGACGCTCCGCCGCCGCCAGTACCACCGGGACCGCCGCCTCCGCCAGGGCCGCCGCCGGGCCCGCCGGGGACGCCGCGCTCGTCGCGCATGAGCGTGAAGCTGCCGCTGACGTTGCCCGCGGCGAGGCGCTGGTGCGCGTGGTGTGGGTGCGCGTGGTGCGCGTGCGGGTGGTGCGGATGGTGCGGGTGAAACTTGTCCGACACGGTGGAGATGGGCGGCAGGTGCTGCAAGGGCGCGAGCGTCGTGTACGTGCTGGACAAGCCCATGCCCGGCTCGCACATGCTCATGGCAGCCGCGTGCAAGTGGCCGGTGAGCGCGGCGGCGTCGTTCCGGTACTCGCCGGCGCCCTCCAGGATGGACGCCATGCTCGAGACCATGGCCGAGCGCCCGTGCGACACGAGGCTGCGGTGGTGCGGCGGCGGCCCGGGCGAGGGGCGCGCGTGCGCCGCGTTCATCAGCTCGCCCGCTGCCTGCGCGTGCGAGACGCCGTGCATGTTGCTGAGGTTCTCCATGGTGAGCTCCATGGCGAGGAGAGAGATGCTGCCTTTCCGCCTCCCTCCCTGTCTCCCTCTTGCCTTCTGTCTCCCCCGCTCTCTCACTCTCCTACTCACTCTCCCCTCTCTCTCTTTCTCTCTCTCACTACAGCGCGAGCTCTCAAACCAAAGCAGCTGCCTTTGTTTTCTTTTTTCTCCTTCTTCTTCTGCTCAGCGGCAATCCATCGATCAGTCCAACATGATGCGTAAAAAACAACAACAAAAACAGAAAAAAGAAAAGGGAAAAAAGAAAAAGAAAACGCTCGCGCTCGCCACTCACTCGCCGGTGCCGGACAGTGAGCGCGTGCTTCTCGTTCGCTGCGCAGCAGCAGCAGCAACAACAACAACAACAGCACTAGCGCTTCTGCCGAGAGGCGCGAGCGCCGCCGCTTCCATGTCCGAGCGAGAGGGAGCGCGCGTGCGCGTCCGCTGTAGCGTTGGAAATAAGAAAAAAAAAGCGCGCGCTGTCCGCGGTGCTGAAGCGTGAAGCTTCTTTTCGCGCCCGTAAGTGAAATATCAAGGCGCGCGACCGCACCCCACCCCTCTCAACCTGGCCACACACAATGGGAGCATATCATATTAACATGAGTATCATATATATATATATATATATATATATATATATATATATATATATATACATATATACATGTATACATACACATATATGGCTGATTTGTATTTTTACATTACTTTCAGAAAGTTGCACTTATTATAGCAAAAAATGACCAGATTAGAATACAGTCAGCTTTGGGTGAACATCATGGGTTTGCATAAAATATTAAATATTAACACTGGTTCTGCAACTTGTCTTTTTAACATACTTATATCTATCTATCTATCTATCTATCTATATATATATATATAAACACATAAAACTGAAAACATGTATATGTGTATACACACACACACACACACACACACACATACAGATATCTGCTTATATAACATTCCATGTAAAATTAAAAACTCCATATATCATCTTTTTAAAACATACCCGTATAATTTCTATGTCATATTCATCCTTGGTCAGGCCTGTATCAAACTCATGTATGCCTATTCATTATATTTCATAATAGAATATCTGAGCACACCTGCTGTACGAAGGCCTGCTACGTTACTGGCAGCTCTAAGAGCTTACTTATCTCTATATGAATATCACAGCATTTGTGTATTAAGAAATATGCAGTGACTTGTGCTGTTCCAATCAGACTAGGAATTTTACTATTCCTTCTACAGCGCCGGTTACTTCCCATAGACCTGTTCAATAGGCTCTCACTGCTTTGCAACTCGTGGAGACACGTTTAGAATATTCAGACTTATTCTTATATGAATATAATAAAAATTATGCATAAAATATGACATTCTTTCATTGATTTGTGTTTTGCACTGTAATAAAACATTTGCATTTGTTCCCATAAACATGCTCCCTATAGCAGCATTAAAGGACACTAAGACTAGTTTGGATCACTCAGTTATCAGGTTATATGACAGCAATAATAGTTATGCATTAAAACAACATGAAACTTCTGATTAATCTGAAATGCATTAATTGAAATTTGTATTTCAGAAATTTAAGAAATGTATATTTACTTCTATATTGTATCTGAACACATACAATTCTTTATAAGAGTATTAAAACACAAAGATGTTTGTAGAGCACTCTCAGTTATGTTATGAAATGTACATTAAAACATTACACCGCTCCTGTGATTTGTGCTTTCCCTCTAATGTTTATAAATGTATAATTACTTCTACATCGCATCTGTAATTTCCACAGACCTGCTATTCAAAACAGACCCATATAACGGTCAGTCGAACAGCAGAGTTTCCCGTTGTTTACACTGTACTGATCTTTATTGGTGTATAATGTTTCATACCGGAATATCTATGCACGCGCTCGTGCGGAGTGCAGGCTCGCGCTCAGCTCTGAGAGTAAACTGCTGAAGGAGTCTAAGTGGTGTGAAAGCTTCGTGGCCTGTTGGCGCTGCTTTCGCTGCTCATTGATAAATCGGATCGATGTATTGACTGACACTGATTAATTATGTTTTTTGACCCCGGGGTGAGCCGGGATCGCGCAGGTCAGAAAGTTTGGAGCAGAAAGCGAGTAAGAACGCACAGCAGCACGGACAAGATTTGGGCAGCACGAGCCCGGCTCCGCAGCGCACGTGCAAGAGAGGTAAAACAGCAGTCTTCTAATATCCTTTACTGCATTACTGTACTAGAGTTCATTCGCATTTATAAATATGCGGTCAACTGTATTTATGTAAAATCACTGTAACTGAGCAGGAAGACAGCAGCGGCTCGCTGGAGGCCTCTGATTTATTCAGTCCATCATCTGAGGCCTGTTCATGCTTCTGTTTACAGGCTGGAAAACAGAGCGGATAATATCAATATATTTCATACTTAAAGCAACAAAAGAGAAGCATTTATGATTATTGTATGGTTTTATGATTAGTAGAATTATCGTTGTTGGCCGTGGTGCTCAAATACGACTGTAAGAGTGTTTATGCAATCTTGTAGAAAGCATTATTATTATTATTATTATTATTATTATTAGTAGTAGTAGTAGTAGTAGTAGTAATAATAATAATAATAATAATAATAATAATTGTGCCGTTGTTTTTGTTGCTGATGGTGGTGTTATTGATGGAGGTGCTTCCCAGCTTGCACTGTCAGATGATGGTGATTTTATTATTATTATTATTATTATTATTAGTAGTAGTAGTAGTAGTAGTAGTAGTATTAATAATAAAAAAAATTAAAATAATAATAATAATAATGTTGGAGGTATTACAATGTGGTGGTGTTATTGATTGGGATGGTGCCCAGCGTGCACTGACAGATTAAAGTAACATTATTTTTATTTTTATTTTTATTATTATTATTATTATTATTATTATTATTAGTGGTCTTACAGTGTTGTTGTTGTCGTTGTCGGTGGTGGTGGTGATATTATTGATGGTGCCCAGCTTGCACTGTCAGATGAAGGTATTATTATTATTATTATTATTATTATTATTATTATGAATGGTGTTCCAGTGGTGGTGTTGGTGTTGGTGAAGGTGCTCTAAGTGTCTGCAGAGGGCTGTGGGAGTGATGACTGTTCTCCTGTTCTGCTCTAATGTCTCTCTATCGATGAGCCTGTTTGGAGAATAAATCAGGGTGGATCTGCTCAGTCCGCGCGCAGCGGCTCCGGTACCGGCCACCGACCGCAACGGCTGATGGATGTTAGTGAGCGCGCCTCTTTAAGCCTCTAATTCTCTCTCACACACACACACAGTGTTCTGAGTGTGTCTGTGCTGTTATTTACATTTTATTCGGGTTTTATTCAGTTCAAGTTTAATTAAAAGTTTCCAAGTCCTAAATTAACTATTTAAAAACTGATGTACGGCTATAAAAATATTTCAGCGAATTTGTGAAACTCTTCCGCGCTCCTGCAGACTGCGGCTCCACACCGGACTGACTGTAAAAGCAGAGCTTAATGATTTTAACACTTGTATGAATTCAGATTTTAAATCATGTTTTTGTGTTTGCGCTGAGCTGATTCCCAATCAATAACTGGAAATGTCCTGCTAACCAGAAAAACTCGTGTTTTATTTTATGTACATTTTTATTTTATTTTAAAATTTGGTATTTCATTTTATTTTATTTACATTTCTATTTTATTTTATTTTTTATGTTATTTTATTTAAGTCCCTCTTCACCTTGGATGTCTAGCTGCCATTAACAGTTATAACTAAACCTTCACCAGCTGACAGAAGTTTTAGCCTTTAGCATTTCTCTCAGACTTAGCTTTTCTTTTTTTTATGACGTTGATTTTTGTGGATATTGTTTCGTGGATATTTTTCGCTCCGTTACAGCCGGACAGAAAGAATACATTTCTCAAAAAATATGTTTAATCACTATATCAGACATTAATGAGTGAGGCTGAGTTTAAATGTGCTTGTAAAGTGCATTTATCCTGCTGCACTGTAGCTTTTGCAGCTTGTATGTCGGTGAAAATGTAGTAAGGTTTTAATCATGGAAAATAACGGTGGTAATAATAAACATATACACATAATAATAGTAATAATATAATGACTTAATGCAGCACCACAATAATAATAATAATAATAATAATAATAATAATAATAATAATAATAATGATACGTTGCAGCATTACAGGTCTTTACAAAGAACTGCTTTATTATTTTATTATTAAATTTAATTATATATTTAAAAATTATTCCCGTTTTGTTGGAGCTGCTGACTGCAGAGTGCAGCTTCACCTGATGCGTAGCTCTTTTAAAGTGAAATGATGCTAATACTGCTCTGTCATTTCGCTCCTTTTTGTAATAAGACTGTTATAAGATTTTGTAAGATTTTGTTAATTATACGTTTGTAATATACGTGTTATAATTAAGGAATCCTGGTGGCTCTGAATGCGTCCGTACCGACTGAATCTCACGGCGATTTGTGATGAGGAGCAGCAGAGGATCCTCCTAAACTCCAAATCTAACACAACACTTTATTCCGGTCAAACTTCCTCTTTGGCCTTTCTGTTTGACGGAATTGGAATCAGGCCGCTGCATTGATGAATTATTGATTTATTGATTGGGCCTGAGAAGCAGAGCTGGAGCCTGGAGAAGAAACAGGCCGAGACTGAGCTTCAGAGTTCACCATCATCACTTCTAAACATTACATTGCAATCAGTTCAAACATTACATTCAATCTGTTATACTGTGTTCTTTACATTGTTAGCCTGATGTAATAAAACACAATGTAAAATAGTGTGGTATACTATGCTCTGTTACATTAGCCATTTTTTTTTTATTATTTTAGCCTATTTAGCCTATTATCTTATTAGAGATACCGTAATTATTATTACAGCATGTCTTAAGTTTTAATGTTTTTTAAATTCATTTATTTCTTCTTAAATTCTTGAATACTGTTGCCCTTCTTGTACCTCTTCTGTTACTGTCTATTATTATTACTGTTATTATTATAAGTAGTTTTGTTTATTATTACAAACCTATCAGCTTCACT